AAAAAATTGGGTTATACTCTTGTTGTTCCTCTCCACGGAAATCTTTAGTAAAAGGCGAAAGATTTATACGATCTGAAGAGAAACAAGAGTGGAATTGTCCAACAGTCAGACCCCATTCACCGGCCTACCGTCTTCACTCAGGGTTCACAGTCGACCGCTAGGCATTGTGGGAACATGGCGACCTCGACCCCGCCTCTGTTTAATTTCTAAGGTAAAATGCTTCTAAAATGGCAGAAAACATCCAACAAGACATCTTAACACTAAATTGACGATTTAATTCAATAGCAGGAGAAAGGCTAACTTTAAACGCAGCCGTGATGTAATGAACTGTAAAGGCTGACAGCATTATGTACACAGTCTGGATCAGAACCAGAAACAAATTTATTGCCAGGTGTAGTTCTCACAATACGATGAATTCGTTCTGGTGCGTTGGCACAACAATAAACATACACAGTGAGAAACAATGTACAAGAAAAAAAATATAAAAGTAACTAAAAAATGTAACTTGTAGTGCAAAGTAAAAGACATTGCGCAGCGAAGAAGTAAGTATAAATACGAAGTAAACTTTGGCCCTATACTAACAACGTACGGATAAAAAAAAAGCCCCAATATTTAATGAATGTATCACATAAGATAAGATAAGATATGCCTTTATTTAACTCACAGTGGAGAAATTCACATCGTTGATAGCAGCTTTCGACAGAGTTACACTTACACGAGACAGGAAAAAACAAAAAATAAAAAATGTACATATAAATATAGGAAATAGTGCAGACAAGGTGAGTAGTGCACATGTGATACATTTTCTACTTCAGAGCATTATATAGTTTTTATTAAACATCGTTAGAAAGCCCCACTAAAAGCAGGGCAGCAAAAAATTGGGTTATACTCTTGATGTTCCTCTCCACGGAAATCTTTAGTAAAAGGCGAAAGATTTATACGATCTGAAGAGAAACAAGAGTGGATTAGTCCTTTAACGCCCAACAGTCCGACCCGATTCACCAGCCTGCCGTCTTCACTCAGGGTATCCCCTTCGAAAAATAGACTTTAATTATATTATATAATAATTAAAGAAAAAAACTACATACAACATGTGTCATAAAATATTTCACCGAAAT